ATATATATTTTTTTTTTTTTAAGAGGCTGAGACAGTAGCAGAGGCAAGGGTTGAGGGTATGTGGCGTATGGGGGTGGTTAACAGGTGAAGGGGGAAAAAAAAGTGTACCTGGCTGGCGGTAGGTGAAGGCCAGGCGGCAGTGAGGGGCAGCCGTCTCGCCGCAGCGGAGCTGGGTAGCCACAAGGCCGGAGGAGGTTCAGAATATGGATCGAGTGCTGGTTGGGGCCATAACCTCATCCAGGTTACTTGGAACAAATTACATCTATCATGCTGGCTATAGGTTTTAAAAATGTATTGGGTTTTTTTATTCATCATATCAGCACTTTCAGTGTAATAAAGTGGTGTGGCTGTAAGTCTGCCCTGTCACACTCTGACCTCTCTTTATTTTATGAGGTGCCAGGTAGCAGCAAATACGTCCGCAAAGGCAGTTGGATGTAGCCATGCCTACTTCCCAGGCTGCTTCCCTTTCTGGGAAATCCTCAGCCTCCAGTTAGCTTTATGCATGCCTCAGAAAATGCGTGGGAAGAGCCAGGTTTCCTAAAATGTGCTGGGAAGGGCCGTTACAATCAGCTGGCATTTTACTTTTCGCTTTGGCGCACGTTGGAGCGATTCCAGCCTGTGGGGAGATTCCCTTGATCGTGTGATTAAATGCAGCACTTCTTCAGAAATGAACTGCACTTGCCTTGTCTTTCGCTGAATTCTGTGGGTGTTTGATTAAGTAAATGAGATGTGGCTTGGGCCTTATGATAAAGGAGTAAGATTTAAAGGGGTTAGCAGTCTTTAAATGATCAGCAATGAAATTTATGTGAGTGTAATAGCACGTGTTTCAGAAGGATGTGTTGCTGATACCTTCTGTCGTATGTCTCTGCGGTTGTAATTTACCTGTAAAGATTACAGGTATTACCTTAGAAATGAGGGAAAAACAGCATCCATTTCACTGTGAAAGCAACCTCCCACCTCTAACATAAAAACAACATTTACGTTATTATGAAGCAGATTTTTTTTTTTCATTCCCAAGCTTTGAGTTTGAAATAGGAGTCAGGCCAATAGTTTTAATCCTTGTGAGGCAGTAGTGGACCCAGAAAAATGTCTGCATATGTCTCTGGCAACCAATGATAGAACCTGAGGGGATGGCAGGAAGATATGCCAGGGGAGGTTTAGGTTGGGTATTAGGAAAAGGTTCTTCACCCAGAGGGTGGTGGACCACTGGAGCAGGCTCCCCAGGGAGGTAGTCACGGCACCAAGTCTACCAATATTCAAGAAGCATTTGGACAATCCCCTCAGACATACGGTCTGAATTTTGGGTTGTCCTGTGCAGAGACAGGAGTTGGACTCGATGATCCTTGTGGGTCCCTTCCAACTCAGGACATTCGATGATTCTATGATTCATGTTAGTGTGAGACCTGTGTGCACACCAGCCTGTCTTATCATACACTTGATTTCTGTGGGGCGGGAAGCTGGAGCACGTGGGCCAGTGAGGAGCTTTTGTATGCTCCAGCCAGGTCCCATGTGGGTGCAACCTGGAGCCTGAGACCTGTAGCATTCCACAAAATACACCTGCCCATTGATAGCTTTTCATGGTTGCAGTGGCTCTACCAGGGCTTTCAGGGTCTCCTTTCAGGTGCTTATCCGTGCCTTTTCTGCCCTATAGCTGCAGATGGTCAGCTCTCCTGCCTTGCCAAATTCAACAGCTGCCATTAAGACATGGTCCGTTTGCTTTTTCTCAGCTAATACCTCAAAACTAAGAGGCTTGTAGTAAGCTTTGCATCTTCTCTGGGCTTCAGTGTTGTTGTTACAAAGTTTAATTGCTATTTCTCACTGAATAGCATCTTCCTAAAAAGAGATTTTCCTTTCTATACTGCTTCTGGATACAAACCTGTCATTCTCTGTAAGAAGTATAATCTTTTATAGTGATGAATTACCCATATGTTTTTATTCTATTGATTTTTTTTTTCCATGACACACTTGTGTAAAATGTTGCTGCCTCCAATTGTAGGTTAGTTTATCTATAAATAATATTTTTTCTTTCTGTAACAAATGTTATCATTAGTACTAAGCCCTAAAAGAATGACTTAGGGGACATACCATATCCTGTCATCTTTGCAACCTATAATTGTCTTTGTTATTCCATTCTAAGTAACACAAGTAAAAAAATTGCTTCACTATAACTGTAGCAAAATATTGCATCAATGAAACGGCTTTTGATCCCATGAAAGGCTAATATATAAAATATCTGTTAGTCTGAGGCTGATCATTCGGTATCAAGTTGATTCATATCTAACATTTATTTCCTGTAAAATAAATTTCCTTTCACTAATGTAGCAAATAGTTAAATTCTCTCCTCCCCCCCCCCATTATATTCTGTTTTCCCATCCCTATTAAAAGTTTGTGCCTTGAGGCCTACCAGCAGGGCATACAATACCTACATTAAACCAAATTTAAAAGTAAGGGTGCTCCTGCTGCTAACGTCTTCAGATCACAGACATGCAAAATGAAGGAACTGGCAGCTGAAACTTTAATGGCAGGAAGTGTCGGCTGAATACTTGGGGAAAAAACACAGTAGCTCTATATGACAAAAAAGTCCTATTAGCATTTATGTGCTTCAAAATGACGAGCTAGACGATTCTACATAACTGTGGGGCTTTTGGCTTTTGTTTTAAGTAAAACCCTGTGTTGTAAGTATAGCATTACTTACAGTTTTTATTCAAAGGATTGTTAATATTACAATTATGTATTATTTTGAACATTAATACAGTGCCTATTGTTGCATTGCACACTGCATGTTCAATCATTTCTCAGCCTTATGTATTAACTTAAAATATTATGAATACTTGGACCTGGATAGCTTGATAGCACAGGGACTGACATGCAAGTAAGGTTCCTGAATCAATTGCCCCTGTGTAAATCAAAAGCACTCCAATGAAAGAGAGAAAACCATTGAAAGTAAGATCATGACCATTCCTGTGCATTATGTCCAACTGAAGTAATGCTGAGGCCTGAAAAGATTTGTGTGGAACTGGAGTCCGGTTTTACGCATAATGCACTGGAAATAAGAGAGTTGTCTGGGAAGCAGCACAAGAAGGATAAGAAACTGCATCACTGTCAAGACGTTGTTTCAAGTAACGTTGGTTTTGTTTGTTTTAGTTAAAATGAACGTGTTGCCCCAAGCGATCCTACAAAGCCCAAGGGAGCATCCCAGGTTCATAGAGCAGACTGTTTGCCCCTCATTAGACTTTGCAAGGTATGTACCTCTTTTCTTTCAGAGTACCCTTTTTACTGTGAATAGCTTCAATCAGCTATGCTGAGGTGACAAATTATGTTTGCTTTTTTGCAATATTTAAAACTGCAAAAATCAGAGGCAAGGAAATTCTCTCTTAGGAAAGTTTCATAATTAAAAGGGAAAAAAAATGAAATAGGAAGTGTGGTCTGTTTAAGGTAGATAATTGATCCTAATTTTTCAAAACCCCTTCAAGAGCCATAGGAAGTTATTTCCATTTAGCATTGATATGAATGTAGGTCATTGAAAATGTACTTATTTGAATGAAACAACAAGATTTTTTTTTTCATTTGGGCACAAAACAGTTTTGCATGTCTCAAAATATAATGAATAAAACTGGCTTGAAAAACATTATCCTGTACTTAATAACTGAGAGAATTAACAACGCCATAATACTTTCAAGCCATCTTCTTGCACATGCCTGCATGGCTTTCCATTCTGTTGCACTCCTTTCTCCTCTTAGTCACTTGTATCCGTACATTTTTGTCTCACTCAGTGAGTACCGGTCTCTCAGTTACTGCTCTGCCCTCCTACAGTCTTTTTCCTGGAATTTCCTCCATTTCAGAAAGAATTGTGGTTATTTTCTTCTCCCTCTTCTTTTTTTCTTTTTGTCTTTTTTTTTTCTTTTTTGTCTTTTTTCTTTTTTGTCTTTCTGTCTTTTTTCTTTTTTTTTTCCTCTCCCCCCACCCGAAGCATTCCACTTAGCCTTTGGCTGAAAGTCCGGGGCATCT